TATTATAGGAAACATAATATCTCTTGGGAGAAGAAAACTTCAAATTTTCTCTTTAGTCGAATCTTTATTTTGCTACAAACTCTGTTTTATGAGAATCATAAATGTTTACTAAATTTTTTTGTGAAAAATATATTTTTGTTACACAATTTTGTTTTCATATTATATTTTAAACGGACTTATATTTTAAATATAATTCCTGCTAAAATTTTATAATAAATAGTGAATGAATGATTCAGAGTATATCTGCATGATTGTGAATTAATGGTGAAAATTTTAATTAAATTAACAACCATGTTCGTTACATTTATAACGTTATTAAAAAGCGTATTTCTATCGATAACAATAGAACATAATCTTTTTGTCTTGTTAAATTGTCGTGGTTTATGCAGATGTGTTGTTGCAACGTATCCGCTGTAAGTGAAAAAATCCCGCGTTTGGTCAGACCCGCGCGTGAGAGTGCAAGTACGTGCTTTCAAATACAATTTCTGTTTACGATAAAACTGTACATTGGTTTTTTGCTTTGAAAGAAAATGTTGGTGTACTTCGGTGTATGTATGCCGCGGCACGTTTTGTGCAGAAAATTGGATAGAAAATATTTTAAGTCTAAAAACGTTCAGCTCTTTATAATTTTTATATTTCGACATCATGACATATTATATATAGTAACCGGACAAATTTTATTTTTCGGATTTTTCAATTACGTATATTTTTCATCCATTACTACCTTAAATAATAGAATCGTATAAAAATTGCATATTATCGGGCTTACTGTGCTGCTTTTAAAAATCAACGTAATGCAAGCAAGGAAAATACATCGCGGTGTCGGGTCATTGTTAAGCTGAAATGACATACGAGCTACAAATCGAGAATTAAGCCACAGTGCGCTTGGTACTTTCGTGTATTATTCTACATGACGATTCATTTTTGCGTAAGTCGAAATAAACTCAGATAGCGTAAAATTAATCTCGCAATATGCGGCGCCGGTGGTGAAGTTTACGAAGCGTGATTTCAAAGATTAAAAGTCGTGGTAATTTCGTTAATATTCCCGCCAGCGAATGCTCTTTGTGCGAGAATAGAGCGGAAAATTAGTGTGTTAAATTTTAAAATAAAGTCTAAAAATTTATATAATTATATTTGCGCAAAAGTATATTGTGATATAAGTGTGCAAAGTAAGCTAATGAATTATTACATAACGTTTCTATGTTGTTGTAATATGTTTTCATTTTTATGATTTTAAAATTTGAAATAATTTACGAATACTGTTCTGCGAAAAAAACAAAGTTTATTAGATAAAACATACAATCCAGTGCATACAAATGTATTAATATTGACGAAACTTTGCTCGTTTTTTTTTATATTTGTATATTGTTAATCAATGTTTTATTAATGCACATCTCACTAAAAATCAGAATGTAATCAAATTCTTTCATTTTATGGTATGGTATACTTTTAATTAAACTAGATCTGTTTATAAACTACTGTATTAATAGAGATTATAAACGCGCAACAGGTTTAGATCAGCTTATCATTTTCTTTTTTCGATGAGATAAACACTCGAATATTTCCGCTAAATGATTGCTAAATAATATTAATATTCAGGGATATATTAGTAATACAGTTAGTAATATAATACAGGGATATATTAGTAATACAGTTAGTAATATAATACAGTATAATGAAAAATAATGATAACGTATTCTAGATGTTGATTAATTAATAATATTTTACTACTAAAAAGTTTAGTAGTATTCAGATCATAAATGGATTATACACCTTTTTAATGAAAAATAATTTTATTAGACAATATTTTATAAAAAAGTACTGCTATTTTTAAATTCATATGCAATGAAAAATAATGATGAACTAATTGTATATTTTCATTAATGATATATATAAATACCATGTATCGCATTTTATTTTTATAGTTTAAAATCGCTAACAGCTTTTCGATTTAAAACGTTTTTGTGCTGTCGTTTGCCTCTCTTTCTCTTAAAAACCGTGTTTTGCCCGGATGAAATTCGAAATGTCGCGTACACTTGGCGAGACTGAAAGAAATCCGAGAGATTTCATTGACGGGACGAAAGATACACGCAGGCAAAACGATTTGGAGCATGAAAATCGTAACACGGAAAAACACTCCTTGGCCGGAAGATATTGGAAAAGCTCGTTGAAAGTCGGTAGACGAAATTTCTTTTCGTCGTCTGATTTTTCCTATTACACGTTCTGGCTCGGTACCCTTTAGCGACTGCCGCGAAGACCAATATTTCATTGTGTTCACCAGTCGCGAAATCACAAGTCGAACAAGAATTGTTCGTTCAACAACGTAACGTTTAACGTTTTGCTCTTAGTACATTGATCCAGAAAACACTTATTCGAAAGAACTCGTCGTAAAAAGAACTATGCTTCGTAATGTACATTCGACGATCGGCTAAACCCAATTACTTATGTTATCTCAAGAGGGGGAGAACAGATTTATCCAGTAAAACACACAATATCTGATTTCTCATTTCCTTTTACTATTTAGATTACAACAGCACACAGTTGTTGCATTTATGAATAAAATGAATAATATATGGCATACATATTTTATTTGCGATTACCAAACTTGGACGCTGCGCCAGTTAAATATTTGTCGATTTCTCGAAGCTTCGATTTTCCCGATTACTCGTTCCGAGCGAGTTTGATTTGTAACATAATAAAATTTAACAGAAGCGAACGAAAGAGCGAGGTGCACAACGGGTACACATAGGGGGTGAATACATAAATCTACATATATGCAGAACGGAATTTCTCGAGTGGCAAGGAAAACACGCAGCCGCGAATTTCGAGGGCAGAACGAAACGTCGCGTCGCGGATCGTCGAGCGGACTAATTTCATCCTTGATCTTGCGCATTAGTTTTGCTATCGACACCGAAGAAATATCTCGGGTCGAGACGAGGGTTGCCACTTACGTGCACGACACCGGACTCGGAGTTTCTGGGAATGGCGTTGTCGATAGCCGGCACCATCTCGATTTCCTTTAATCTTGATTAATCCTGATTTATCGCGAGACCTGCCATTCAACTCGAGAGTTCGCGACACCTCGTTGCCGTAGTCCTATTAGTCGACGCTTAATTATAGCCTTTTTATGATTTAATTAATTGATTATTTGTCGTGTCAACAGCAACGACAGGGAATTCTCGCGAAGGTGTTGGATTATTTTTGTTAAGGATTAAGCCTTGCCGCGTATTTGTCCCGATGAATGACATTTGCGTTTTTTTATATTACATTGACATTCGTAATTTTGTTTTCAACAGACGACATGTCTCTAGTTAAGGGAAGAGAGAAACGTCTGTTTTCTCCACTGTATATTTTTTTTCATTCTTTCAAACGTGATATGGCAATTTTGCAGATTCTTATATGTCTTATTCAAGAACCAATAAAGCAGAGGAATAAAGTACAGAATTTTCAACGTTAAGAAATGCAAATTTATGAATAACCGAGAGGGTTTATGCGCCTTTGCCGATTCCGGATCGATGTCTCGCGATCGTCGGTACTTCTGTGCTAGGGAATATGCTCCCAATATCTATTCATAGCGTGTGGCTTGACATAAAGCTCAACTTTTTCCCCTGGCGGACGAATGAAGTACGATTCATTTTTCGATTAGAGCTTCGAAAAAAAGAACCGCAAACGAGGATTCTTGATCGAAGGATTTGACGCTCTTCTTCGATCGAGTTGTCTCGTTTCGTAATTTACTGGACAAGATAAATTGCTCGGATTCGTTTCGGTCATTACGAAAGTTGATCTTGTCGAAACTGGAGAGAGATATATATCAGTTCTTTTTGCAGGGCGCGAAGAGTCCATCCATTTATCAGCGCGTAGACAACAACCGAGGTAACTCTTCACCTTTTTTTGCATAGAGTGATGTGACGCATCGACGGTTTACAGATTAGATTAATGTGAATTTATGCCGCATTTTCTGAAACTCGCATTTTTGCGACAATACTTCAACAAGATTTATTAGTTGCTATTCGAATATTGTTATCGCAAATTTTTTTTAAATTCTAGCACTGATGGAGATTTTAACTATATTTTAATACAATTATATTTCTGACGTACATATATAAAATTACCTGTAAAAATATAGGCAATATACAATGTATGTATATGTATGTATAGCAAACATCGTAAATAGTATCAAAAATCTTGGAGCACTGTGTTTATATATTGAACGTTTTTTCTTTTTGCGGCCGCGCCTCGCTGTCAGAATCGTTCATGAAAGATGATGGATCGCTTATATAAAACGCGGGGTTGCGTAATGAATTCAAAATTATGCGTTTTATCGTTTTGGGTCGCTATTCTGCTTTTTTATCACGTAGACAATTCTTCATGTAACGAGATAAGAATGACACAGTACATCCCTCTATTTAAGAGAACTATATATGTATATTCTATTTCATTAAGTACTTACATATAGACATGTGCAATTTCTATCTCATAATAAATAATATAATCATCAGGTTTTTAATTACATAAAATATAAATTATAAAGAATTTGAGTCTTTGAAAAATTCTATTAAGAAAAATTAATTAAAAAAATGAAGGTCTCTCTCTCTATTTTTCTCGGTGAATCTAAATTTCGCGTCTCAAAGTATCGCATACCTCCGTCTTCTCGCTTTATCCCGGAATACCTAGATTCCGACTTAAGCCTTTCGTATAGCGCACCACTTTTATAATTACTCCAACACAATTGGCAAACAACGGGGCCAGCAATTACGGTAGTTTTCGCGTAAATACACGTCTTGCTTGCAAGACGCTCTCTCGAAGCCGCTTCACCTCCGAGGGTTTTTTTTTTTCTCCCTTCGAGGGAGCAGGAGAAAGAGCGAATGGAAGCCGTACGTAAGTTGTGCACGTAAGAGTTCCGGATGCTGGACGGGGTAGGAGAATATGCGAGGGGGTTGTGGATTCGGCCGGGAGTGCGCGCCGCGGAGTACGCGCCGCTCGCGTCCGCTCTCGGAGCTGGCGGGAGAGTCAGTGCGCGGCGAGGCGCGCCAGCTGCCGCACGTCATGATTCTACCCCAGGTGAGCGACGATGTACCCAGATACTACCACTACCATCCCGTCGTTAACAGGACGACCGCCGAGAATCGTGAATATAATACACTCAAATGATAGTCCCACCTGTGCATGATGAGTGTGTCGAACGATCTTTTTGCCTTGGTTCTTCATTTCGTTCAGCACGAGACAGCATGAGTAAAATCTGTCGTCCTCTCATCCTTTCTCCTTGTTTCTTTCTACCCCCCCTCCCTTCCCTACCCTTTCCCCTCCTCCACTTACCCCCGGTCCCTTTCTCTCCTCCCACGATACCGCGCCCCTTATGTGTCGTTACATGTAGACGTCATTTACGTGAAGGATGCAATTTTAGAGGGGAAATCGAGAGTTGAATGCGGAATGTTTCGCAGAGTGCGAGTATACGAGATTTGCGCGATTATCGAGCAGCGATGTGAGCGGCCGGCATGAAATTTTGCGTGATTCGGCTCTCGAGTGCCTTCGAACGCCTTATTTCTTAAATTGAAAAAGTGAGTGAAGAGATGAGAGATTTCTCTTTGCCAAAATTGGGAAGGACGCTAAGTGATGAAATCGAATTGTGCTGTCAAAAAAAATTCGTTATTTAATATACAAATATCAGTTTGTTTCATCGTGATTTCGTGTCCCATCGGGAATGATAACGAATATTGTTACGTTTCGTGAAAATAATTGCAGCCACAAATTGCACTGATATTCTTGACATATGGAAATTTGATGCCAGGCGCGTCGACAGAGAATCGATTCATTCGCCGGCGAAATAGTCCGCGGATAAAAATAATCCAAAAGATAAAAATGTCGACGATGGAAATTTTGATTTACAAGAGAAAAAGAGATAGAGAGAGAGAGAGAGAGAGAGATGTATGCTAATAATGAGAATCGCGGTCGAGATAATGTCGGAGATTAATTTTATTATCAGTTCTCCGGAAGCGGCTAAGAATTTTACGGCGTCTTTATCTCCGTGTAATTTTATGCTAAATAAATGGGAAATAAATCCGATTTCATCGTCGACGAAATGGTCTACGGTTAAAAGTATCGCGAGTGATAACGTCGATCGAAGGGAAGGAAAATTTTATTTATTTATCCAAGGAGGAACACGAATCAAAATATATCCCAGTCGTATAGTAAAACTTTGTCTGCTTTGAGAAGCGCTTGAAACGTTTTTACGCAAGTAAAATCGAGTCCGCGAAAGTTTTCGAGATACACGGATGCGAAAAACTTTTATCAACAATTTCGCGAATCGGACTTTCTGTAGAAGCGGCTTTTCTATCGCCGCAACAGGTTCTCTTCGTACGTTTCGGTCATTATCGTCACGATAATGCTAATTTCCCTATCGCGTCCATCGACGGATCGATTATCAGTGATTGGCCGACGGAAACGACTCTACAAAGGCGGAAGACGAAATTTATGTGTCAAGGAAGTTAAATGCCCGCACTCTCGTTATGCTTAATTTGTATTATTCACCCATCTGCACATGTATTTTTGCATGTCCATTGTTGTAATTATTAAAAAATCTCTGAAAACTGCTGCTTTTTACATTAAGACTTTGGGACATTTATGGGACATTTACGAGATGAATATGAAAGAGACCTTAATTTTTTCAACTTCTTCGCGAACGCGTAATTATTTCATAAACGTATAAAATATTTACATTTATGATGAGTTTTTAACAGCAACATTTTATATTTGCATCAAATATTGTATAAATTAATTATCTTTCCAATAGTGCCAGGTTCTTATTGCCATTTATGTATTTTTAGATTGAAAGAGATATAATAGATTTAATTTAATTTTTATTAATTAATTCATATTTTTAGAGAATTTATGTGCGTGTTTAGGAATAATTATTTCTCTTCTCCATGTTAATATGTATCTTTTCAACAACTCATATAAAATGTTTTTTTAAAAATTTAAAAAGTTAAAATAGAAGAAAGTTCTTACGAAAATCTTAAATGTGAAATATTTTCTTTAACATCGGTCTTAAAATACTATACCTGGCAGCTCTGTACTTTTAACGTCCATATAAACTTTCATGGACATGACAATAATCCGATACTAAAACAGAAAATTCTGGTACGATATTGTTCATATCATATGTTGGATTTTACACTTACAACTATTATTACCTTCTATAATCGTCGGACGTTTTTATAAAAAGTGAAAATTATGGAGTATTAACCGAGATTATGAAAAATTTATTTTGTGTTCAAAGGATCTTCGTTTTTTAAGATGATATTCCTAAAATTGTACATTGAACATAAAAGTAATACTGTAAATTACAGAATTCATAGGAACAGATGTCTGTGGTCGTTTTCTCCCTATGAGAGAGAATTATGAGCATAAAAATCGTGCGCTTATATGGAGTAGTGAAAATTCAATTCCGCGGAAAAGCAGTTAAAAGAGAGACGCGGTGCACTTCGTCATGGAATTTCTTCGAGTTTTCGCGGAGTCGCGCAACGATTCGCAAAAATTACTTTTTCGCCGGGGCGAAGTTTAAGGGGACGTTTAAAACAACCAAGGCCGGTATTCGTGGCCAGAATCGTTTGAGAGAAGTCGGCGGAATCGACGCGATTAATTCGCTGAAAGACCAAACTTTCGGAAGAGGGCTTTCGATCCGAAAGTAGATTAAATATCGTTGCACGTGCCAGTTGGTCCGTATTTTCTCCAACGAAAGTATCAAATGTTTTAGACATCCATAATTAGAAATAATCATAAATATTTTTCAATTTTTTATTGTTGATTTTTCAGTTTTTCCTTATTAATTATAAATCCTAGTACAGTTTGTGCGTCGTATCAGTGATCTACAATGACCGAGCAACTTCTGGAAAAAACTTGAATTTTTAAATCTTATATAGAAGGACGGTTCGTCTTGTAGAGAATAAACTATAACGTCAGTCCATTAGAAGCAATTACAGAAATGTCTTTAAAGTGCTTTCTACCTCATGGCATTTTCTTTAAAAACGCGCCGCCGGTAGAATATCTTGCGTGCATTTAACGTTTCGCGTGCAAAAAAGTACGAAGCTCATTTCGAATACAAAGATTATCTACGCGATACACGAGAAACTGTGACACTGGGAGATACAAATTTTACGAATGGACGTCTGTTACGTGCGGTACGGTAATAATTGTGCCCGAGTTGCTTAATGAATAGAAATGGTTAAAAATGTTTGTATTAAATATTATCGTTGTATTGTGGAAGAGATGGCTGTGAAAATATTGAGAAAGAGTGTTTATAACGGCTGTGAACTCTTTAAGTCATAGCGGTGAATAAATTAGTATTTTCTTTTCGTATCTAGTAACAAAACGCTCATTAAAACTTCCGTGTAGCACTGGAAGCAAAACATCTATGTTTGCACTTGGCGAACCGCAAAACATTATAACGTCATATGCTACACTCAGCAATATTTAGCGGCGCATATTTTTCAGTGTACATCGTCACTTGGAAAATACAAGCATCTGTGAAAATAGAAACTTCCAGCTATTAAATGCATATTGCAACGAATGCAAAATGCGAAAGATCGCAAAAATAAGAAAAAATCATAAATGAGAGACTCGTAAATCATAATGGTTACTTACGAAGACACTCTTTTATCTGACATGTGTATAAATGAGAAAAATGATAGGAATGATAGAAATTGAATTTCAAATAATAAGAATGTGTATAATAGACTTTTTTTCTCTCTCACAATTTATATCCTTAATTTTCCCGAAAACTGTAAAAATATGGATACATATAAAAAAAAGTACGAAGTGCGCATAATGCTAATTAAAAAAAGCACTTAGTGTCCATGCGTGACCATTTCACTCGTATTGTGGCATTTATTCTAACATTGTGACGGATGAATGTGGTCTTCTTTTGTGAGATTACAACGCATTAAAAATTGTCCAACTGCGCAGCTGTCTAACGGAATACGCGAGTGTAATCAACGATTCTCATGACAAAACGAGGAAGGAAAATTCGAGGATTCTTTCGCGATGCAATCGAAAATAAATAGTTTCGTATATTGCAATAGTTGCCCAAGTGCCGTAAGTGAGTCGTGCTTTTGCGGCCGTTTGATTTCATCTCGTCGAGATCACGAGGGAGCATAAGCGGAAGCGAAGTTTAATCTCTCCGCGAAATGTTTTCCGCAATTGTTCGCGATCGGCCAAGTTTTCAAAAGGATTTTTCAAGAAACTTTGGAAACGCGCCGCGACTGGATCTTCGTGCTCTCCTGACAGAATGGAATCCGAACTCTGTGACTTGCACCGGAAATTGTTTCTCTCAGCCGGATCTTAATTGAATACATTTTTCTGCTCCGAAAAAAATTGCGAGAGTTCTCCGCAAGTTTTGTGTTTAGAAATCATCGATTGTTTCCGGTCGAAAATAGACACGATAAGCGTTTATTCACGCAAAGACAGCTGCGCTTTACAAACTTTTGCTTGACTGCGAAAGTTTTTCGCGTTATCAATTTTTAATTGAGACATATTTGAAATATATTTCTAGGAAATTGTGATATAATTTAGCGTGACATAATTTATAATTTGTATAATTATTTTGTTTTCATATTTATACATATATATATAATGACGTTCAGATTTCAGTTCTATGAAAACGTGAAAATGATTCTATTCTATGTTTATTTATGATCACGGAAATACGACAACTAGCTATCCGTATAGCGGAAAATTAATCTCCGAAACTAAAATTATATTCGGTTTTCGGTATCTATCTTTTTGAATTCCTAATTGTTTCCTCAAACATTTTACCGTGAACAAAAATTGGTCAGAGTGCCACTCAAAGAGCAATATGTCCCCGAAGATTACAATCTACCCTAGAGCAGTCATAAAAGTGTCACATAATTATGAAGCCGAATAAACTAACCAAAGATATCTGTCCTTGGAGAGAACATCTTGAGGACACTCTCAGTCTTCTCACGACCCTCGAAAAAGACTCATTTTAACGAAATAAAATTTCTCTTCGAGTTTTATAACTTTTTGGGGTGCTCTCGTGTGCTCGATCCAATCAGATCTACGGAATAAATCCGATTCAGATCGCAGGGAAACTTTGCTCGCGCGACGCTTTTG